GGGGAAAGGAAGGGAAGGCTTTTGAATATGTCTCCCCCCCTTTTGCTTCCCATTCTGACATCACTTCCGGTGATGGCAGGGGGCGTTGCATATGCTAATGAGCTATTATACTAATAGCCTAGTAGCTCATTAGCATACTGTATGTTAATGAGCTCCTGCAGCGCTTTTTCTAGGAAAAGACCCCTGGTTATGATATCACCTCTCAGTTATCTCCTCTCCAGGCTAAACATGCCCAGCTCCTTCAACCTTTCCTCACAGGACTTGGTCAACAGACCCCTCACGGTCTTCATTGCCCTCCTCTGAACACGTTCCAGCTTGTCTGTCTTCTTCTTAAATTGTGGTCCCCAAAACTGAACACCAACCCAGTTTCATTTATTTATTTATTAAATTCCTTGTCCGCCCTTCCCTGCATAGCATGGTTCAAAGCAGACTACAGCAATGATTGTAAACAATTATTATACAATAACTAAAACCATTAAAAAACAAAAAAGTGTAGGACAATTAATTAAACATACTACAACAAGATGGCAATCAACACAATTCATAAAATCCCTGAGTTAACTATCTGGGTGGGTGTTCAATAGGATCCAAACCCCTGAGGAAGCAGGCCAGCCACAACCCAACAAGTAAATGATTCTGGGCAGAGCAGGGGAGGCCGATGCCATTAGACATCTGCTGCCTCAACCATAGGCCTGGGTATAAGCTTTCGTGGTCAGAAGTCCCAAGTTCAAATCTCAGTTTGGCCCCGAAAGCAGCAGAAGAAACCTCTGACTAGATCCTTTTGCCTTCCAAGAATGTTGGGAAAGAACAAAAATTCCATCCTCTTAAGCAGGGCTATTTTTGGGAAGGAACGCACAGGAACGGAGTTCTGGCGGGATTCAGAGTTGGCCACGCCCATTCTGGCTGGCTTCAGAGTTGGCCACGCCCACTACAGCCAAAACCTCTGCCTGTGTGGCTGCAGAGGGAGGTCTTGGAGAACGACCCCCCGGCTACTCCAAGGCGGGCAGGCCGGGGGGGGGGGGCCCTGGAAGGATCAGGGAGGCATTTAAATGCCTCCCTCACCTGTCCAAGGGCTGGTTTGCCTGGGCTCCCCACAGCCGTGGGGTACCCAGGCAAGCCAAAGGAAGGCAGTTTAAACTGCCTTCCCTTGCCCGGGCTCCCCGCAGTCGCGAAGCACCCGGGCAAGCCAAGGGAAGGCAGGGGGAGTGGTCTAATATGCTAATGAGCTGCACGGTGGTCTAATATGCTAATGTGTTTGTTGTTGGGTGTGGCCTATTATGCTAATGAGTTCCTGCTGGACTTTTTCTACAAAAAAAAGCCCTGCTCTTAAGAAGATCAGATACATTATTGAAGAGAAGAGATTGGATGTATACCCCGGCCTTCACTTGGAGTCTCAGAAACTTCTTTCCCTTCCCCTCCCCACAACAGACACCCTGTGAGGTGGGTGGGGCTCAGAGAGCTCTGACAGAAACTGCTCTTTTTCAAGGACAGCTCTGACAGAACTATGGCTTGCCCAAGGTCATCCAGCAGCTGCAAGTGGAGGAGTGGGGAATCGAACCCGCTTCTCCCAGATCAGAGTCCGCACACTTAACCGCTACACCAAACTGGCTCTCTTATTGTATCTCCCTAGGGTTGCTGACAACTTGGAGAAAAAGAATGTCCTGTTCTTTTAATAAAGTCTTATTGTGTGGAAATGGGCGGTTAGAAGCTTTGCATGTCCTGGAGGCAAATCACTTCTCCTGACAAATAACATCCCATTAAGCCTCTATTAAAGGGCAGGACTATTTCACTCTCTAGGTTGCTGGCTACTCTACATCTCTGTCTCCCAGCAGTAGGCCCAACTCTGGCAGCCATTTTGTCCAGGGCCTGTCTCCTAGCAACGCTTCCATCCTGAAAGCCTGAGTGGGCCTTTGGGGGAAAGTCTGGGAGGAAATTCTGTTCCTTTGGCAATTCATACAGGTCATGGTTGATATGTGGATGGAGGAAGGAGGGAAGGACTGAAATAGTGTCTGCTAGGACAGAAAATGGAAAAGAGAGAGAGTGTGTGTGAGTGTGAGGGATTATTATAGGATGTGCTTTTAACCATCACCATGAAGAAGCTGATGGCTGCTTTTTACATTGCACATGAGGTAAATTTGGTCAAGAAATACTTAAGAAGCTTAGAGCTGAAATACATGTCATGCCAGGGATGTTCAGGAGACCTCCTCGGCCTCTCTTTCTTAGCCACTATGCTCCACTGGATTAAAAAAAAAAAAGACCAACATTATTTTTTACTGAACATCATTTTAGGAAAATAAATCGGGCATGGGTGTGGGTGTTTATCAACACCAGGCTTCTGCTTTAACATCTGTATGCCAAACAGAACTATATCAAGTGACATTTCCCTTCCATCATTTGGTTTCCACAGAATGCATGCCGAAAATGCTGCTACATGCTTTTTAAAAGCGCAGGAGCCACACCAAGGAAAGCAGTAGCGACTCCACGTGCCAGTTGACACTACCAAACAATCTGCCCGTCACTCTTTACTAAGGTTGCCACCCTCCAGGTGGTGCCTCAGATCTCCTGGAATTACAATTGATCTCCCTGCTTATAGAGATCAGTTCCAGTGGAGAAAATGGCTGCTTTGGAGGGCAATAATTAAGTTGCTCAGTGGTCAAGACGCTGAACTGCAGACTGGAAGATCAGTCGTTCAGCAGTTTGAGACCCGAGTGCCGCAGGACGGAGTGAGCTCCCGTCTCTGGTCCCAGCTCCTGCCAACCTAGCAGTTCAAAAGCAAGAAATTGCAAGTAGATAAATAGGCACTGCTTCAGTGGGAAGGTAACAGCGTTCTGTGCACCTTGGCGTCTAGTCATGCTGGCCACGTGACCATGGTCTTCGGACAGCACTGGCTCTTCGGTTTGGAAATGGGGATGAGCACTGCACCCCTAGAGTCAGATTCGACTGGCTTTTGAGCAAGGGAAACGTTTACCTTAATTAAGTTAAATGGTTCAGGGCCACAAGCAGTGTTCCCTCTAAGCTGAGTTAGTGTGAGTTAGCTCACAGTTTTTTAGCCTCCAGCTCACAGATTTTTGTCTTAACTCAGGAAGGATGGCTCCAGAGCAAACTAATTTATGCAGTAGCCAAATCGCTCGCTCACAACTTTAATGCCAGTAGCTCCCAAAGTAGACTTTTTGCTCACAGGACTCCACAGCTTAAAGGGAGCATTGGTCACAAGTATGTATTAAATGAGGGTCACCCGATGTCCTCTTTTTTTGTGTCTGTCCTCTTTGGGGTTCTTTTTAAAAAACGGATGAAAATTTCCTCTTTTTGGCTTGGAAGGTTAGGGATATTCCTAGTTAGTAGCAATTATCACAGTTCAAATAGTAGGGGTATTGAATTGAGATTTGTTGTAGAGACCATTTGTTTGAAGTAGTCAGTCGGGAAATATCTCCTCTTGTTTGCTTTTCAAAATATGGTAACCCTAATTAAATAATGCCAACCCCCACCCTTCCCCTTTGGAGACAGAGAACACCTCCTCTGGATTGCGAAAACCAACACAGACAGGGAAAGCCATGTGACTTTCTACAGCTTTTCATTCTTCATCTATTCTTATCCTCCTCCCCTTCCTCCAAGAGACTTGAACCTCGGTCTCCCAGACCCTAGCCCGCTTCCATTGACTATCCCTTTATTATGAAAAAAAACCCCACCAGGGATTATTATATAATATTATCAAGTCTCCCTGGTACTTTCCGAGGGTGACACTCCCAAAAGAAAGATCACCAGCCCTTGACAAGTTTCCAATCGAGATGTAAACAGTGGCGCTGGGGAGACCAACGTGAGTCAACGCATTTAGACGTGCATTTATATATATTTAGACTACATTTCCTTTGGGGGTGGGGGGATTAAGGGGTGAAGCTTCGGGGAGGGGTGCCAGCAACCTTTTGCCTCGTGGCCGGGGGGGGTGGCATGCGGA